AACTGTACCCTGAGCAACACTTATGACAGGAACAGGCTCAGAAAACTACTCCCTAATGCGAGAAGGAGAATGGAAAACACTCAGGATTCATCAAGGAATGGGGAGAGATATGAAGGTGCAAACATCTCCTCTATTAAAACGGAAATATTTTGCAAAATCTTCTAAAGAGAGGAAGTCAATGTTTTTCAATATCTACAATCGTGCATAAGATTCCTCCTTTTACTCCTCTAGTATTCCCAAATATTGTTGCTATTTTACACCAGTCTTTATCCTGTGTTGTAATACCTAGACATCCCTGCCATTCTCTTTTGTAGAATTTATTTTCTACAGAACTGAGCCTCAAGTTTCTTCCCTATTTTTCTCAATACACTTACTCTTCTTAACAGTGTGCCTTTCTAGGCCTGCCTAAGTATATTTTCATAATACAACACATGTGCCTGCAAAATTTCAGAATTCTGTGATGTTTACACCTTGGTTAAGTTCACCTTGTAGCTGGCGGCTAAAACTGAAATCCATTGGTTACCTCTATCTCCAGCAAGCACTAACTCAATGACCATAGAGAAAAAACGGAAACCTTTTCTTAATTGTTATCTAATATCTGCTTTTCTTTGAATCACAAAACCCCCAAATATTTTAACCAATTCTCTTGGGTCTCAGCAAGTCTTTAAAAGTCTGATTACCTCATTTGGTCCAAGCTTTAATTGTTAGACACACCAGTGTCTTTAAAAAATACTTGCAAGCTGCACGTTCACAGTCAGTTCTTACCTACTATCCCACAGCTCATTATTGGATAGATCAAAGTTCACTGAAATGAACGGAAACCTTTAATCTAGATTTTCCCTCTCAAACCTGCAAGTGGCAAAGTGCCCTCAGTCTTTGCAATCACAGTTGAGAATTCAGCGTGCTCCCTGTGAATTTAAGCTGACAAGCAACTGAATAGAAGTGCAGGCATACAATGAAGCTTGAAGTGGCAGAAAAATGAAATAAAAAAATAGAAATAAAAACGGACGGAGTCTCACATATAGCTTCATGAAAATGTTCCTACCTAGACAAGATAACGGCCAGTCATAAGAAAACAACCTATTATAATACATGATGGGAAATTAACCTAGAGATTGCTGGATGAGTTCAAAACTACGTGTAGAAGGTATGCTAGTAACTACGCTAATTACAAAAAATAAACTGTTAAAAATAATTTCAAATTTAAATATAATGAAAAGAGTAATTTAACCCGCAAGCAGAAACCTATCACTTTCACACTAAAATAGAGTAGGCAAGAAGAAACACAGTTTATTTTTACTGACAAATACAAGATTTTGAAAATACATATTAAAAAAAAATGTCTCTACCCTAATGTCTCTTACAAAAACAGTGTGTGTCTTTTTCTGACTAATATTTCAAGGATTATTTTAGTTCCGTAACATCAATAACTCATTCTGCGAGTCAGGCAATGAAGATCTGGCCTCAGGATATCTGCGTGCAGAAATTAATTCATTACACAAAATAGAAAAACTGCTACCAGAATAAGTATGCAAGAAAACCACACTGCAGACAACTGATCCTCTCAGAAGGAGGGAAAGGACGATGATGTGCCAAGAGAGATTGCCTTCAAATGCATCCTCTCTCAGGAACGTAATTCATCCTGTTCTGACATGTCGGGTAGCAACAAAACCTCCCTACCTGTTCTGAACAGTGCAGCAAAAGAGCTAAAAAGATGAACACTGGTTTGCCCTAGTTTTGTACAAGCCTTTTATCTTACGAATGAAGCTATCTCCCAGCTTGAAGAACAATGGAAGAATAATGGAAAACATGAAGGTGTGAAAGAGAGACAAAAAAAGTAATTTGTTCCCACTAAGAGCAAATACAGTCATGGACCAGGAACACCAGATCAGATGTAACCAGCAGAAAGAAAAATCATCAAAAAGGGCAAAATGGATGTGGTGGTCTTTGAAATAATACTGGTTTTATTATTTATTGTGTTCTTGGGAGGACAGATGTCTGATATTTTTGCTAGTTTGTGACCTGGAAGATTAACATTCATTTTCTGTGTGCTACTCTGACTGCTTGCTTGATTCTTGGTAAGCCAGTTAGAGCTAAGCTTACAGGTCCTCAGATATTACAAAAACAGATATATCTAGAAGCTTTATGAGATTATTTTTTTTTTTAGAATATTAATCCATTTGGTTTAATAATTTCAAAGGAAATTGAACAAAAACACTTTTAAAATCCCACTTTACACTTTTGATTAAATCCTTTAGAAGTGTTTCAAAAAAACCTTTGCTAAATGAAGACATAACACCTCATGTCAATGGTCCACTGTGAGGACAGATCCATTACTACAGTAACATCCCTTAACAAGTGATTTATAAAACAAGTAGATGGACTAGTTCAAGAGAGTTCTGCAAAGGGAAGGCTGAATGCTTCTCCTGCTAAGAGAAATTTCTAAAAATTGCAGAGATCAAATTGCCTTCCTGGTGCCTGGAGGGTATTCGTTGGCATGGTCTGTTGAGGGAATTGTACAATTATTTGGTATTAATGTACCTATGGATGTATTTCCTTTTGTTCTGGAAAGATTACTCTGCTGCAGCAGTTATTTTCCAGTTTCTAACAATAATTCCCTTTCTGCTCACAAATGCCATTCTGTCAAGTCTACCAATCTACCACAGTGGCCTGCAAAGATCCCAAGTTGGGAACTGCCACTTCCACAGCTTTCCCAGCTTTGGCTTAGATGCTAAGTGTCAGCTGTAAGAGCAAAAGTCAATATTCATCCTAGCAAGACAACTAGCACAAAGATCTACAAAAATCCAAATTACTGTGTGCTCATAAAAGATCAGCTTTTTAGCTTTTGTACATCATTGTTCCATTGATTTCAGCCAAGATATTACAATTCATAAAAGCTGAAGATCTTCATCTGGTTCTTGGTCTTTAAAATAAAGAGCTGAAACAGCTTCTGACAAAAAAACTTCTTCCAGCAAAACTTAATCATCATTTTTGCAAAAGAATGATAAATAATGTAGAACCATCTTAACTGGGGCGCTTCGATTAGAAAAAAAAATTGGTCATAAAATAGTAATTTGACCCAATTTTAGGAAGTTTATACAAATGCATTATGCTGCGCACTAAACTTAAATACGTAATTTAGATTACTTTGGATGAGAGTGACTCAGTAAGCATCAGATCATTCAGAAAGCATGAAGTGAACATGATGGTCTTTCAGTGTGTCTGGTTACTGCAGTTAACACCAGTTCTCACATCTTATTTAGGGGGAATTTGGCTTACAAATAATACCAAACCATGATTTATAGGAGTTTTTCACACTGGAGTATCCTGTTAACATTCAAGGTAAATATGGCCAACTTGGCCAGTTCCTTTTGAATAACTGGATTACTGTTGTAACCACATTGACTTTTGCTCACCTCTAGGTACCTTCCACAGAGGTCATTCATCAGCAACAGTCCTTTCTTGAGGACAGTTCTTTTGACACTGCATCTCTGGGGACGATCTGTAAAGATCCTGCCTCACCACTACCATCCTTCAAAAGAGCCCTTCAGGCTGACTTCTCTTTTTCCCATGTGATCAACAGTTGGTTTTTGTTTGAAAAGTCTAACAGGCTGGAAAAACACACCCAAAGTCCCTCATGTCCCATCTGCACTATTTGCACACCTCTAAGCACTTATGTCTGCTCCAAGATCTTTGCAGTCTTCCTTCTACCTGGCTGCTTCACCTCTAACATCTGCTGCAATCACACAACGCCACTGGATAAAATCCAAAATATGTCCTGTTGACTCTGAAGTCAGACTGCCAGGCACAGCAGAAGGCAAAATCTTTAGCATCTATCTCTCCTGAGACCTTGCTAACATCTTAGTTTTACAAAGTAAAATTGCCTCTATATTACTATTTGTCCAAAATGCTCCGAGTGTCCTAACTGGACTGTTTTCTCATCCAACATGTCCCATCCCTTCCGCAGTGGAAGCCATCAGTGCTAGCATATTGACTAGACATTTGACAAACTAATTTCTTACATACTTTCCCAGCATCTGATTGCTGGTTTGGTGAACATCTGGCGTGAAATCAGATGGAAGAGCTACAAGTGACTGAGAAGTACGGATAATGTACAGAAATACTGCATGTAGCCCCTAGAAGCCTTCATCTTCTTGTCTCAAAAAACTTTGTACCTTTCTCTAAGCGATAGAACATGAAATAGTTGTAGAAAAATTCAAACGTTTGAAACTCACACAAAACATAGAGGAAGAAGGTACATTAGGATCTGCACAAACTACTAGCACCAAACTTTATTCTGATCTTTCTCAAAATTACTGTCATTCTGTGTATGTATGTGCAATATGAAGAGCAGTGAGAATTGATTTTTGGTTAGATATATTGTAACCTACACTATCCTCTTTCCCACACTTCCTTGCAATGAGCCTTGTTGGTATAAACGCTCCTGCACAGTGGCCAAAACTGTGATGGGTGTTCTTCAGGCAACAACTGCAAATTCACGGCAACATTCTGTAGGAGTCTCTGACTCAAATTCTTGTAACTCTTCACAACAGCTAACATGTTCAGCCAATCTATTATCCTTTTAAGTTGAGAGGAAAAGTAATGAACTCTCCTTTGTTTCAGGTTCCAAATAAATTACTGTGCCATACTCCACAAAAAATGAGTGCGAGACTACACAAGTGCCAGTGATTTCAAATTACTTTAGGGAATAAAACAATCAGTGCTGAACTCCACAGGTTTTTGAGATTGGACAGAGCACGCACTCCACTGTAACAGATGATTTCTTAGAGCATTATATGTATTGCTGACTGCCATTCAAAGTCACTTCTGGCCCTTCAAAGTGCCACTACCTTAAAAAAAATCAATACAAAGTTAATTATAGGAGGGAACTCGTGTGGACTGCCTCCAGTGAACTCTGCTTCTTTCACATGTAAGTATTTATTGAGCCATTATAGGTGAAAGATTAGGTGCTGAGTATATTGATGCTAGATAATACTCACAGCAACCGCTTCCAGGATTTGTTTAACAGCATCAGCCGCATCTCGTTCACTGTAGTAACCCTTTTCCACAATCCTACAGAAAAAGTAACAAGAGACATTGTGTTCAGGATTATGCATTAAAGTAAGTAATCATGCAGGCAAAAGTTTCTTTCCAAAACTGAGTTAGAAAATAATCAAATTTAAATATGACCAGGACTCTGGAGTGCCCCTAAAAAATAGAAGACAGTCCTTTTGCAACTTAGGTTACTTTTGATTCTCAGTTAAATGAAAAAGTGGAGATAAAATATCAACCAGGTAAGAAGCTCTAATATATACACACTCAGTTGAAAGGTTTTGGAATTTTCTAAAATTCAGGGAATCTGAATTACTCAGACAAAACTAAGTATCCTTTAGGAACTGCTTTTTCACTTTTCTATTTAACTTAACTTCCCTACTCCCACCCCACCCAGCACACATAGATCTGAATTATTCAAGAAAAAGTGTTGGTGTAAAAATTTATTAGCTTCAAATTATCCCTCAAGTATTACGGGCTTAACAATTGTCTTTTTTTCCCCCAACAGTAAAAAATCAAGGGCTCTGCAGTCAAAGAAACACGGTTTCATTAAAACTAAAACTACTTTTTTCTTCTTCTTCTTAATGTAAATAGCTACTATGCTATGTTTATTTTGTATAAATGACACATAATAGCTTGATTTTGTAAATGTGCTGACTATGTGCAGCTTATGGCGAGTTCAGCAATATTTATGAGTTCTGAAGATCCTGCAAATTTGTTTTTCTTTCTCCCTTTGCTTTTACATCAGTTTGGTCTTCTAAAAAAAGAGAAAAGCTCAACTTTCTTCTTTAATAATGTTATCTCCCTAGAACTTTACCATGATAAAAACATTAAGTAAGAAATCTGTGTTAAGGTAATATTCTGAAGTGGTGTATTTCAACATGTTGTATGCTATGCTGAATAGAAAGGGTGGCAAGTGTTAATGCAAATTTCTGGGTTGGCCTCCCAAAGCCCATCTGTGCTACTGCAACTCTTTTAGAAGAACACCAGCAGTGTCAGAGGGTCTGGGGTTTGTATCACATGTTGTCCAAGAACTGCCATTACAGCATGAAACATTATATAAATGCGCAGTTCAGTTAAAGAGAGCCAACAGAAGATAAGAGATATGCACAATGTCATGCAAGAAGTTAATAAAAGGAGAATCTATCATTAACATGTACTAATGCTCCGTTTAAGACATTAACCATCTTTTTACTATTGTATTTAACCACACACAGTATTTGTGAACCACAATAATTGTCCCTTAGAGAGTTACCTTAAAGGACAGATCTTTGAAGTTTTGATTTTTTACCATATTCATTTTTGAAAGCCCAAGAAAACATAGACAGGTGTTGTCTAGAAACAGAACCTGTGGTGTCTATGAGACATTTTATAACATGATCTCTTGCAAGCGCACAAGCTAGTTTTACAAAACAATGCCCTAAAATCCCCATGAAGCAGGAGAGCAAGAAGTCCGTAACATCTGAAGTCAAAAGTTGCTGGAAAGACCTTTGGCTTCAGGGTCTAGAAAGACACTCTGCTTGTGGCAAGAAGGCTATACTTCTTTCTCCCCACTTCCCCTGTTTTGCAGTATCTTTTTCTCACTTCACTTCTTTTCTCTGAATTAACAGACTCATATTGAGCTATCGCAACTCCTTATGCCTTTACAAAACCTGACAGGAAAGGTGTTGACTAATGTACATATGGAAAGCATTACTACATAGTCATTAGAAGATTAAGTGCAATAAGAAAAAATGCAAAGACAATAATCCACCAGAAACTGATGTAACAAGCATCGTGCAGTGGACAATAGTCTGTATGGAGATACTCCTAACCAGCTGCAATTACTTCACCTCAACATGCATTGTGTTTACAGATTACTAAATCTATTATGTGGCAGTGGTAACAGCAAGCAATCCCTCTCAAGCAGGAGCCCTTCTATTTCACTGTGGTTCCTTGGCTGCATAATTATTTGGCCTTATTTCTAGAAGCTGTTTTTTCTGGCAGCCCTTCAGCTACCATCCCATATGCACTGCTTTATTTCCTTTGCGTTTTTGTGTCTCCAGGCCTTCCCCTGCTTTGGTCACCTGTTTAAACCATGAGAGAGAGCTTTACTTGAACCTAACGCTATCAGGGAAAAACAAAGCAAAGTTTACTCAATGAGACATTATGTTCAGCTTATAGCCTCAGGTTTAGGAAGGAGGTTACAAAAATAAAGTGCTTTATTGTGCTTGAAATTAAGATTCTTCCTTAGCTATTTCAGGCTGAATTATCTGGTAGCCTCTGGTAGATTACATGGTGAGACCTGAGCCCCAGTTACCCTCTTTCTTGGGTCTTTGCTCCCCCAAATATACTGGTTTGGCTTCCTCCTCCTTTCTAATTCAAATAAAATATTTAGTGTCAGCCAGCAGGTTCCTGACTGTAGCATTCACACTTCTGAGAATACAGACCTCGCCCCCATCCCACCTTCTTCCTTTCCTGGTGATATTTTGAGTGGTAACTTGCTAGCAGGATTCTATGTATTAAAGACATTCACATAATCATTCTGTTAAGCTTACAGTCTTTAGTAGGACACAGGAGATCAGAACAAAATTTCAAATTTGGTCACAAAGTAGTAAACTCAAAAAGTCTGCTGTGCTAGTTTGACCCTCTGCTTTCAAATTGCCATGGATTTTGGAATGTACTCCACAATGAACCACAGGAAAAGGAAAGGCATCACAGGGCTGCTCCCGGGGAAGTGCTGCACATAGGCGGAGCTCTCAGGAGTGCGCTGGGTTTAACTCCACCATTGCTCAGGCATAGGTTCCTTGGGTGTGATGGGATGATGCAAAGGGATTCTGGTGGCAGGAGAGGGGATTCGCTCCCTGTGACTTCCCTGGTTTTGGAAGCGGGTCAGACCCGGTTTTGGCCACCAGATCGGACTCCCATCCCCCTTGGGCTTGAGCCAATCTGCACCTCTGCGAATTGCCCTATTTAAGTCGGGACAAAGGAACCGGAAAAGGTGCTTTGCCCAGGAATGAGGAGAGAAGAGAGGAGGGCACTCCCCTGCTTCTCGGCTCCCAGCCGGGCGGCTGCTTGCGCCAGGCCGGTGCCACCCACCGAGGATGGCGGTGGTGGAGCCGCTTGGGGAACTCAGGGAGCTCCCCTCTCCCAGGGTGCCCACTGGGCTGAGTTCACCCAGAGAGGACTGAGATCTGAGAGAAACGGCCACACAGACACCCGGTCAGTGAAGATGGAACCAGACAAGGTGTGCCAGAGCTAACTTTCAGCTGCAACTGGGGGCAAGCCGGCAGAGGCCCCCCTGCAGCCAGGACAGACTTGGTGGAGCAGAGACCCACTCGCAGCCCGTGGAGACGTTCACGTTGGAGAAGAGATGCCTGAGCCTGAGGACGGTCGTGGAGAATGTGATGCACGACAAGGTAGAGACACATCTAAAGTCTGTGTGACGACGCATGCACGCCGGAGCAAGTGGCAACAACTCCCTAAGAATCCATGACTGCGGTAAAGCACGCTCTGGACCAATCCGATGGGGAAGGATTGCATCCTGCAGGTAGGACTCTGGAGAAGTCTGTGGATTTTTCCTTGTGAGTAGGGGATCCACTGGAGCAAGGGAAAAAGGGTGTAAGGACTCCTCCTCCTTTAAGAAAAGAAGCAACAGTAACAACATGGGATGAACTAACCTGCACTCCCCCATCCCCTTTCCCCTTGTGCCGCTGGGGGAGAAGGTAGAGCCGGGAAGAAAAGAAAAGGGGGGGAGTTGTTGTTTTTAAGATCTGGCTTTGTTTCTTTTTATCCTCTCAAGCAACTGGTTTTGTTTGTCTTTGTTCTTTTAAGTAACTGTTTATAATAAATTGCTTTGCTTTAAGAAAGCGGAGTCTGTTTTGCCCGGGACCATGGTTGGTGGGTGCTCCTTCTCTGTTCTTGTCTCGACCCTCAGTCCTTTTGTTGTATTTTTCTCCTTTGCACTTCACTGGGGAAGGAGTGAGAGAGTGGCTGTGTGGAGTTTAGTTGCCAGATTGGCCTAAACCACAAGACTGGGAATGGACCACCCTGCCCATGTCTTGAGCCCAACAGCTGCAGGATGACGTTGTGTACCTGACCTCAGAAATGCGTGAGATGGAAAATTTTACAGTTTCAACAGGATTTGAAATTCTCTGATTTTCGGACTAAGATCAGAGAAATACCTGGCAATACAGTTACAATTCAATTTATGTTTCTCCCTTCATCCAGCATATTTCTAATTTTACAGTATGGTAACCCAGTATTTCATAGAATCATAGAATCATAGAATGGCATAGGCTGGAAGGGACCTTAGAGATCATCTAATCCAACCTCCCTGTCATGGGCAGGGACGCCTCTCAACTAGAACAGGCTACTCAAGGCTCTGTCCAACTTGGCCGTGAACACCTCCAGGGAGGGGGCATCCACAACTTCTCTGGGCAATTTATTCCAAAGTCTTACCAATCTTGTACTGAAGAATTTCTTCCTAAAATCTAATCTAAATCTGTTCTCCTTCAACTTAAACCCATTTCCCCTTGTCCTATCAGTGGACGCTCTTGTAAAAAGTCCCTCCCAGCCTTCCTGTCTTGTACTGAAGAATTTCTTCCTAAAATCTAATCTAAATCTGTTCTCCTTCAACTTAAACCCATTTCCCCTTGTCCTATCAGTGGACGCTCTTGTAAAAAGTCCCTCCCAGCCTTCCTGTAAGTTCCCTTCAGGTATTGGAAGGCAGCTATTAGGTCCCCCTGAAGTCTTCTCTTTTCAAGGTTGAACAATCCCAGCTCCCGCAACCTGTCCTTGTAGCAGAGGTGCTCCAGCCCCTGGATCATCTTTGTGGTCCTCCTCTGAACACGCTCCAACAGACCTATGTCTCTCTTATGGTGGGGACACCAGAACTGGACGCAGTATTTGAGATGGGGTCTCACAAGAGCAGAGTAGAGGAGGAGAATCACCTCTCTTGACCATCCCTTCTTTTTCAAAGAGATAAAGCTGGGGAAACAAAAAAACCCACACAAACATATCTTAAATGTAGCCAACTTCTT